GGTTCTTTCCCTGATTTGTTTTTGGTTATTTTTTTAGCAATTGAATTTTATTTAGAATTCAAATCAGAATTCTCAAAAAATTTCAAATTACAAACTTGATTTAAATCTTGAAATTAAATTCAATTCCAAAGATTACAAACAGCATGTAAACTCTGCATTACAAATTCATTAATTTCAAAGTTTTACAGCTTGACCTTACAAACTAAAGAGCGAATCCATGAATAACGACTTGACAATGCTACTAGGACCTGAAAACAACTATAATTTTTGGAAAGGAGACAATGATACGTAGTTACTGAATTTACACTTTGAATCCTGGCTGTGTTCTTTGTATTTTAGTTTTATGTTCCTTCTCGTGTGAAACTGCATGTCAGGAACTTGGACACAACGTCCCATTGAGGATGAAGAGCTTTTCTTGTTTCCTTCGATGTCATCCCAGGTTAAAAGGGTCTGCTTATGCACCCAAATGGATTTCAGACAGTCTCCCACGCCCAAGTGATAACGTTATCTTAAAAATCTAAACCTGTTCACTAAAAGAAGCCTATGCCGTCTCGAGCCCACTTAGGATCAAGCTAACAAAGGCTCACGGTCGGTCCAGATTCACTAAGGCCCAACATCTTTTGAATGGAAGGCGATTAAGATAAATTAGAAGGCTTGGACATGAACCAAAACAAGTAAGATTTGGGCCTAAATGATGGGAGTTTGTCGATTGCCTCCTGCTTCATGGTGCCCACTGCCATGAATTCTGCCCGAAGAAAGTTTCACCAGCTCCTCGGTCCGAACATGTTCAATGGAACTAAATTGTTAGGCATTGGCAGCAAGAGATGAAACTAAGTCAGATTAGCCGTCACTCAGCCCACGAAAGTCAGGATTATCCTATTTTTAAATGTTAAGTTAATATGATGGGACGGGTCTTTATTTTTTGACTATGGCTATGACGGGGCAGCTAAAGAGGCTGAGACCGATGGGTGCAGGTTTGGATAGAAGGGTGACCCTTGTGGATATATACCGCAAAAAGTTAGGAACAACGAGTGTGCAAGTGATATTTTATAATATTAGTCTTATTTGACTTTTCACACATTAATAAAGGGTTATCAATGTAATTCCATGCCATGTCATATGCTTTGAAGTTATTTTCAATGGTACCCTTGTTTATTGAAGCATGCATCAAATTAGCAAAATTAGCCTAGGAGTTTATTCACTGCTGACAAATTTCAAATCTTAATGCGTCCATCTTTTTTTTTTTAAACATACTATAGTAAATAATGTCCGGATTTATATAGCATAATTAATTTTATTTTTATAAAGTATCAAAGTAAAATCTTAAGATATTTCCTTGATTACTTATAAAAAATAGTTTATAGGTGAAATGGATTTCTAATTAATGTAACAATCATTAACAAGTCAAAACAAGTTTTATGAATTATTTTGTTAATATAATTTTCTTTTAATTACCATAATCTTGAGATTAAAAAGATCGTTCTTTCCTAATTAAACTTAAAATGAGAAAATGAAATGATTAATGGTAGCATTGCTTGTAATGGGTTATTAAATTTAACACGAATAATTGTAAAAGAAAATAAAAAAATTGATGTAAATAATAAGGTTCTTTATGTCTTTTCTTGTTCTTTAAAAATAAATTTGACAAGGTCTAAATATAATAATATGACATAATTACTTGGGATTCTGAGCTTTTTTTATCTGTTAATTTTTATTTGAATAAATTTTAGAGTATCTAATATTATAAATGATTGAAAGATTGGTTGGATTAAAATATTTTTTAATCTAACAGATTAAAATATACCTTAAGAGAAGGGGCGGGCAATATCTTTAGGAGGAAGGGAGTCCAAGTCATGTCATCTGTTTTCGGATTATTTTTTACTCTTACCCTCCATTAGAATATGAAATGAGGTATAATTAAGTTGAATTAAACAAAAAAAGAGTTATAATTAAATGTATATATAATAAGAAAACCAAGTAATTAATATTTTGACGTTTTGATTATGGGAGAATAGTTTTGGAAAATTCTAAATAGTAAAGGGTTGACAACTACTCTTGACGGAGTTTTTTTTTATAAAATGAAAGTAGCTTTCATTAATAAATACCAGAGTACGTATATGCTCATCAACAAAGCTATTTTCACATCATATGGAAAATAAAAACAATATAAGGAAATGATTATATATTGTTATGTTCAAGTAGCTAGGCTAGAGACATGACAAGCAATTTGATAAATTAGTCCTCCGATAGACTCCCATCCTTCTAACTATTTGGACTTCCAATTAAATTTTTTACTTCAGGCTGCTCTTACCGAAACTTTTTTTTTTATATAATAATTAAGGTATTATTAACAAACCAGTTTATCATGGTAAATTAAAATTTGAAACTTGAAAGCATCGCATTAATTCAAGCTGTCCTCGTGCTATCAAATTCTATTGCAGCATATTGGGATAAAAAGCATGTTTGGAAACGTGGCTAATCAACATTTTTTATATTATGAATTATTTTAATGTATTAATTTTAAAAATAATTTTTTTAAATAAAAATATATTATTTTAATATAAAAAATATTTTAAATAATAATTACAACCAGGCTGGAAGCTCCTGTGTACAATGTATCCATAAAGTTGATCATGATTGTCCACAGGAATTTTCAATCTTCATTAATATGCAAACTAGAACGTACTAACTAACACAAAGAAAATTCTACCCGAATCTCTCAAGGGCTACGTGCAATGAATAACATGGCCATCATCTGCATCCTCAATTTAGCTGTCCAGCATCAAAATTCGCGACTTACATTTTTTTTCTTCATTCTTCTCGTACACGTGATGTAAAATACGTGCAGCCAATTTAGACTATAGTATGAAAGACGTCTGCAACTGTCAGAATTAAAGGGCTGCAATAAATGTGAGGAAGCTAAAAATCAACGATATAATTGACGTTGCCATGTCCTTGATCATCGCGTGCTCAAAAGAATCGAGACTGGATGCGTATATGTGCTTGTTGTATTCTACGAATTGTGGTCCATCGTAGGTTTTTAATTTCCAAGCTCTCGAACACTAAGAAAAATCCAAACATAGATCGAACAAGCCTTTATGATCACAGAGGTCTCCATTCAGATTTGTCAAGACATCACTTAGCAATGAATGTTTACCTGCATGTAATAATTGAATATCCTTCTCTCTAAGTGGCCAGCACCATTTTTGGTCCGCTTTTATTACTGGAGCCTGCATGTTTTCCTGGGGTGGGAAATTATTGGAAATCAGACGGACGGACGGACTTATAGCGAGTGTTTGGATATATTCTCTTTATTCCGTGGTGATTTTTGTATCTCTCTCTTTCTCTTTCACACGAAGATGTGCTCAGCTGTTTGCCAGTTGCCTCCATGGAATTAACTTGTAGTCGAGTAGTCTCGTGTGCAGAGTCATAATAGAACTTTTCTTTCTTTGCCTTTTTTTTGGGCGTGCATGATAAGGCTACGCAACGATTGATGTTAATCGATCTATCTTTTCAAGTCCCAGTCTAGTTGGACATTATGCATGCTACAAGGAAAGAAAATCTTGTGAATGCATGCTTAAGACCCGGCTGGGGATAAATGAACTTCATTTCAGTAGCCTGATAATTCATTAAAAATCAAAAGAAAAAAAATATCGATTTTAATTTTAGCTGTGAAAAAACCATCTCACCATAAATTGAAGTAGTTAAATGAGATCTTGAAATAGTTTCATACAAATTCTTTCAACATTCCTATATTTACTTAACACACATGCACAAACGTTCCAAGGGCTCAAGCTCGATCGTGCCATACCTCGAAGAAAACTAGGAAAAGGGAGATGCACCACGCATTTAAATCACACAAATCGGTTTAAATAACACAATGGTACTATTTAGAAGTATAGGACTACAGGGGAGTTTTGGTGCCTGAAAAAGAAGCACGTACGTGCGTACGCATCCTATATGATTGAAAGATTTTATATATATGCGTTTTCTACAGGGGTGCCAATGGGTACTCCCAGTAGATTCAAGTGAAATTCAAATTGAATTTAATAATATCCATACTCTATATCTATTATATATTGACTAATATAATTATTCAAAAAATATTTACCCCATTCAAGTTGGGTTAAGTCGGGTCAATAGTACATTGTTTTCTCTTCCTCTTATCAGCTGTTTAACTGCTCTCTCGTTGCTACGGTCCCTCGTATTACTACTAACAATTACAATCCAATTCCATCTAAGACATATGTGTAATATATCCCAATCCCAAGCACATCAAATTAATCCTTAATCTTTATTCTTACTTAAAATCATCAATTCTCTACGGCTAACTCTTCACAAATCCTCTTTCTGATACAAAACCTAAATTGTCCGGGATGTACGTACACTCACAATTAAACAAAAATATAACGAAGTACCATACATTAATATTTTGTAAAATTTAGAGAAATATTTAATGAAAGATTAAGAAGTTATCGATGTCGATGGCTAGTATGCTGGTGCTCTTACAAAAGTAAAGAGATGATAGGTTTCAAAGCTGGAGTTAAATATTAAAGTTGGGGGAAAAACTACAGCTAGGCTTAGAAATTAATGTGACAAAGGGATCATGAGGAATTAGTGCTCGTGCTTATTGCAGCAATGACCAATGTATCAGCTTGGATTAGCTCTCTACATGTGTAATGGACATGCAAGTATATATTGGCATTATCATGATTAGAAACCTCTAAGTCATTTAAACCACTTGTTCGTGCTCTCGTGCTCCACTCACTCCAAATATTTCTATCAAAAGACAAAAGCCTCTTTCAAGAATCAAAGTCCATTGCTCCATTATGATTGCCATTCGATTGCTAACTTTCAATTTTTCATCTAACCAATAAAATCATTATCTATACCGTCATTATGCAATCATCATCCCAATAATCATGATCAGGCTAGCTGCGGTACACGTATTTAAATGACAAGAAATACCTTTGAAAAACAAATTCAATGGTGACTATAAATGAAGAAACTTCCTTCTTTGGCAGGAGAGAATAGATGCCTAACTCATGGCTGCTTTACCTAGCTAAACACGGCGTCGACTGTGACTATTGACTTGAAACCCTAACCAAAGTTGTTTTATCCGCAGGACTGGCTAGGGTTCTGGAAGATGTAGGATCCTGCATCTGGGCAGTGAAGTTGACATCTTCCCATCTATGCTGTGCCTTAATTATGCATGAGTTGAAACCCTCCGAAATCATAAAATATTTTGCTAGAAACATCTAATGACCTTATTAATTCACTTTGGAGACTTCGCTGGGCGGTTTTTTGCATTCAATAGGTATGTATACCCTCCATCTCAAAAGAAATATGAACTTCTTGCATTGGCATGCTAAGGAATGCTTTAGCTATATGAGAGGCGACGAATGAGATAGGATAATCCAATCGAAAAATTTTTACCCGTAAGGAAGGTACAAAACATGGACAACTGGCTTCATGATTAGTCAGGATCGCAAGGGTATCGAAAATTGAGTCGATAACAGGGACAAATAGGGTGGCACGTAATTACGGAAATTTTTTGAGATTTTTTGTCACCAATGTGAAAGGAACAAGAGAAAAGCCCCCACAAAGGAGAGATGGATGGACTCATCTAACAATACACGAGGTGGGGTTTGGCCTCAAGCAAAGCATAATAAATCCAAGTGGATATTTTCTTATATATTGCTTAAACCTCTCTTGGGTCTACGAAAAGGCATGTTGTTGTCGGTGGCGTTTTTGGCAATTGAAGGATTGTGCTCTCTTCATTTTTCATGGCCTTTATGCACCACAAATCTTCTGGACAGGAGAGCGATTTCCAGTAGGGGATGTGAGGCCTTAGCATTTCCTTACAGCCTACTTCTGTTACTGTAACCTTACAATCTTTGGTCTTTGTCGCCATGTTATGCACAAATTGGCACAAATCTCCAACCAGTTTTCCTGATAATGGTCCTTCAAGGTGCAATCCATACATGAAGTAGAATCCAAATGGACTGAAAAAATCTGGTATTGCAGGCAATTTAAAACACGGAAAGATTTTATCCATCAATCTTGAAATCTTGGTGTATATTAAGCAAGATAAGGGCGCTTTCCCTAATCTTAGCTTGAAGAGCTCCCCACTGTTCCATACACTAAGCATGGCCCAACTACTTGGAAATTTCCCATCTGAACCAAAACCATCCCATGACTCACCTCTTTGATAGGCCACCCAAGTCCCCATGCTTAGCCTGTTTCTTAGTATATTGCCTATATCATCAGGGAAAAACTCGGTTGAAGTCATTAGCTTGCGGTATAGAAACTCAGCTTCTTCAATCCTGAGTTTCGCAACCTCAGTTTTTGATGACAAACGCAAGGCTCGACGATCAACTGGATTAACAAGAATCGCTGGCGTCCTGAATTTGGCATATCCAAGCTTTTTTATGAAGAGATTAACTGATGCCTCATTATCTTTCTCTGTAGCCATGTACGCGTAGTCAACATCATTTTCAACAAACCATTTTTCCAATTCAAGCACTAGCCTCAATCCAATCCCTTTTCTTCGATGAAGCGGTGCAATTCTTAAGCCTAACACATAACCCAACTTGGCTAGATTCTTTGGAGGTTTATGGACGGTTGCAAGCTTTATAGAGCCTTGAATGACACCAACCAGTTCGCTGCCCAGCTCGGCTATCTAACATGTAAAAGAAACAAGGTTGCAATATTTTTTCGTCAATAAGACATCATTGTAAGGGCAATGGATGTAACAAAACATAAGATATATCAGATAATGGATATAATGAAAAACAAAGGAAAAATAAAAAAGAATGACGATGAGCAGTATCGTGAGCACGTACCAGCATCTTGTACATCGGACTGTTTTTGATTCTACAGATGGGGTCACCCATAGTATCTGTGAAGAGAACTACTCGTTTAGTCGGGCCTACCTCACATCTTCTCTCAAGATCTTCCACTCTAGCTCTATGAATTTGAACATCGTAGCTTCGTATTTTAAGTTCTCCGTACACCATTTTTCTCACTTCATCAAACTTGCACCATAAATAGCAATGAATAAGCGACCGGCATGAGAGAGTGGAGATACGAGCAACTATAGCTTTTTTATTTATAAGAGATCAAAAGAGAGCCCATACACTTAAGATGAAATATTGCAGCTAGCAAGCGTATTGTATATTAGCTAGTAATATGGGAAGGAAATAATAGGTTCTTTGTTCTACCACTAACTAAAAGAAATGGTCCTGAAAATTCATATTGATCATCATTTATATGCAAAGGTGGGAAATGTGGAATGTTACCTCTAATCAACATCAACATTGAGCTTCAACAGCAATAATAATAGACAAAAGGTGGTTAATAATAGGATGTGTCTTTTTGTCCTCAGCCTTTTGCCCATTCTTAACTTAATTAAGCCCTGTCCACGTTAGGATCACCTCAGGCTCACGCCACCGTGCACGCCTAAGAATATGTATAGTTGGCCAACCCTCACTTGTCAATCGATTGTCCAAGTACGATTAAGCCCTCTGCCCTAGCAAAAAAAAAACTGTAGTCGCTCAGCTGATACCATACATATACGGGTACGATTAAGCCCTCTGCCACCTAATTGAAAAATAGGTATACTGTCCCGTCGGCAGGTCATAAATATCTTCAAATCTGATCATAGATTAACGATTCTCGACAAGAAGTTCCTTGTTTAATTTTTTGTCGAATTATCAGATCAATCTTTTAGCTATGGGTGTTGCGGTTGGCCTTATTAATTAAAGGAGTCTAGATTGTGTCGTCGGCAGGTGTTCACCGTGTATATATAATGCATGGTGGCGACATATAATTAACTAATTAAGTGCAGGGATTAATTAATTGGGCGGGTTTTATTAGCTTAAGCTTTATGCAAGAGGAGAAGTCCCTTTCCTCTCACACTGAAGTTCTTGCATTTGTAATATATTTTATTCTTGATTTGTTTCTTTGTGTGTTGTGTGCGCTAACGGTGGTCCATATTAGCTTCCTTTTAGACGCTTCGATCCGAAAGTGAAAGTAACCCCACTATAAAACCCTAACTCGCTCTCTACTGCTTACAGAAAAGCTACATATATATAAATTAATGATAATGCTGCTCTAACGTGCCCTGTATATGTGTGCGCCAGCAAATTTAGCTTGCAATAGTAGGTCCACATCAAAGCGAGTCCTCTTGGCTTGAACTTATAGATCATGCCCAGGGACGCAAGGCAGCAGCTGTTAATTTTCTGGCAATTTACATTGGATCCGGTTTGGGCGTTGGGTTGCATGTGGGCCATTCGGTCTCGAGGCTTACCTATTCATCAGGCTTACGTAACTGTGGTATGTGGGAAGACACAGTGGCCCAGAGGACCCTGGAGACGAGAGCGAGAAGGAGGCTGTCCTGAGTAGCTGTCAAGTTGATTGGTTTGGGTTTGCCATGAGTCCACGATGAGATGCGGGTGGACTTGAGCTCTAGTGTAGCCCAGCAAGATGCTTTGGATGTTCGTAAATAAATTTTCCATGGCGTCGCGCTCCTTGATTTAATAGTTCTCTCCACTCAAACAAGGAAAAACAAAAGAAAATGGAGTGACTCCTTTTAATTTTTAGCATAAGTTTTCCAAGACCTTATTAGAAATATAGTTTTTGTAGTGTGCGAAAAGGTAGATGAAGAACCATTAAGACAAAAAAGAAAAGACAAAGTTCAATAGATGCTGTACCGTCTTATACTTTTTAGATTAACGTCTTATGCTTGCAAAGTTAATTATTGCCATGTCCCTATGCTTTAATTCGAGTTAGAATTATTAATCTTCATCTTTGGGAACAATGGGCAGAAAAATAAGAATAGAAACGTTTCCAAACGATTAGCTTATAGAATCAACATATAAATAAAAAAGAAAAGGAGAAGGAGACATAAGGAACACAGCAAGAAACCCTAATATATATGATAACATAGCAGAATTAAAATCTAAACATCTCACAATTAATTACACAAAATGTTTTACGAAACCCTAACCGTTCTTGTTCTTGTTCTTCTTCTCTTGCTGTTTTTTTTGGGCCCTTATTTAACTTACTCATATGGTTCCACCAACCTCATTTTTATAATTCACAATCAATCCACCGCACCCATTATTGCTTAGAAAAAGACACGTGCTTCATTGATGCGCCATTAGCCAAATACAAAGTGCACACGTGTAGGAAGCCCCCCATTATCACCCAAAAAAAAAAAAACACAAAGGTCCCTCCCACTACATTTTGGCTAAAGAAAATATGGGTCCCCGCTTCACTCATGATGATCAATTTTATTTAAGAAAGGACTCCTATTGTTGTTGATGATTTTAACTCTCCCACAAAGTGCTAAGTGTACGATATTTATTTGTCTTGTTGGTGTCCTAATCTTTCTTTGCATGCATTATGTTGTCTAGCTACATCTACACGACTTTCTAGATGGACACTTTTGAGGGCCAAGGTCAATTTTTAATGTGTGGTACCACTCCAAAAGTGCTTCAAGCTTTCTTAAGGGAGGGAGCATGATAACTCCTTGCTTTTATTCTTCTATTTGCATCAAACTTATCTACGGAAGTGTTGCCGATATGCCCTATGAGGAGAGACCTTTTATGTTGATGCTCAGTATTGTTCCAATAGTCTCCTCGTTAATCATCTTTATCCATTCCCCTCAGACCCTTCGGAGATGCGACCGTGATGTGTTAGTGGACCAATCTTTATGTACCAATTGTCATGAAATATAGGAAGTGGGATGAAAGCTAGAGGAGGGACCAGTTCTTAATCAGATTTGTGTACGAAAATGATGGAAGCTAGATCATGGATAAATAACCCCAAGATACCACCATCTGAATCTGCATTAAAAGAGAGTGAAAAAGAGAGAAATGAAGAAGAAACGGAAGGGCACATCACACCAACTAACTAAGATCGATACCATGTTCGTATATGCCAGCTAAAGACGTCATTTTGCAATGAAAAGCATTAAAGAAGAGAAAATGGTTACGCTACATGTATCTAAACTACACAATATAAGGTCCTCAAGATGTCAAGTAGTGATCATTAATAATTTGCCTTTTTTTCTTTTTCTTTTTCCTTTCAATGAATGAAAGATTCACTATAGAAGAGGGGCTCAAGGGAGAGCTCGCTTTACCGCAAAAGCTTTACAAACAAGATTTTTCTGAAAACCAGTATCGATAGATACTAAAATTCTATCTAATGCAAATTCTACATACTTAACGATTGTCAATGGCAACTTTAAGCAGTCAAGAATTATATACCTTACAATAACTAAAATTATTGGTACGAACAGCTGTACACTGCTCTTATTTCTTTTTTCCATACAAGCAAATGAGATTGCATCAAGCAATCCTTAATATATTAACTTCAAATCCTTCACATTTATAGCTTATAAGCCAAGCTAGTATCTAGAATATTTGATTAATTTTTTGGTTCTGATAACCGATCCATCCTTTCTTAATGAAATGATTATTGAATCATGTTTTATTCCTGCAAAAGGTCTTCTCTTTTACATTTAGGGACTAACCGATGACTGAATAAGTATTATGTAAAAAAAAAAAAAATTATATTTAAGTTTGTGCTTGATTGAACTTAAAAATAATAACTAGTTATTAATTATTCTTTCTATGATCATTCTTTTATATAACATACCCGAAGGAAAAAAAAGTAAACACTTATCCATCAAAAACTCATTTCATGTAGAGAACTTCTTGCAAAGTTGAATTCATATATTGCACACTCCAACTGACCTTTGATTGCTTCGAATTTGAAGATTCTAGGACTGAATATCCTTTACCTTAGAACATTAGAAGAACCAAGTGATTTTTATATTCAATTTCTCTTTTGTAAAAGACGCAATTAGAATCAATTACCTTTCCTAATAGAAAGTCAATTCAGAATTGCAAGCCATTATATAAAACTATATTTAATTAGGGATATGAAAGGTTTTTGTAGAAAGTTATCTCAAACTCTGTAAAGAGTATATTTATATCCTCGTGTCTGAAGGACTGTTATATCATGACCGAAACTCGAAGCATTTACGTAAAAGTGGCCATAAGACATAAAGTTATTATCAACCAAAAAACCTACATGTGATCATGGTACCTTAAGAGGTGCCTAGGATAACCTCCTGCGTATCGATCCCTCATTTCCCTATTGAAGCCACTCCTGTTTCAAAAAGCCATTTCGCAGGAGTCCACAAAATATGGGGAGGATTCGAAATCACTTGTAGGCCCATTTCATGGTCGCCGTTTGTTTGGGCCCATATTCTGCAGAGGACTTAAGCCAGTCCTGTCCAAAACTGGCCCATATGACTGTTCTTGGGGCTAGTATCTTCACATTGTTTATAAAAAAATGAAAGTAAAAACTACATTTATGTTATTTTTATTTTTTCTCGTTGATATTAGAATTTGGGAACTTTTCTTCATTAGCACCCAGTAACATGGTCCATTTCCTTACTAGTCGTCGCAGTTCCTTGGAATGGAGCACCTGCAATCATATTTTTTTCGATTATAGATGCCATGTGAAAATATAAAAAGAACCAGGCAATTTCTTTTTTAATTTTAAGAATGTAGAACCAGCCAGTGTTGGGCCGAGTTCTAGTAGAGAAAAACAAACATGGTACCGAGTGAAGGGAGACAAATTTTGTTCCAACGAAGCCCCCTCCCTGTATTTTCCTTTCACTGTTCTACATAATTTACTAATATTTGGTTTTAGAGGGGGTCTGATACAGAACGTAACTAAGAAATCAGCTATATGCACAGCCATATGGGCTCCAAATAAAATTCCAGAAACACGTAAGCACAATGGCATATCATCAAAATCTAAAAAAAAAAATTAAAATTAAAATCCAAATAAGGTCCTTGTGTTCTTAGCCTGGAAAATCAAAGAGGGACTCGTGGTGCATTATTTGCCCGTGGCCTGTGGGTACGAAATATTCTCTGGTGACCTGCCTAATGTCATAAATAGGAACGTTAAATCAGGGTTACTTTCATCTTCTGAGGCTGTGTTTGGTAATATAAATGCATTGCATTTAAAAATATTTTTCAAAATATATGTGAGCTGAGAAAAAAAAGTATCAAATTTAATATTTTTTAATTTATATATATATATAAACCTAGGCCGCATGACGAGACGCATACCAGATTTTAACTACAAATATAACCTGCAGGCTGGAGTACGGGTCACCCTATGTATCATTA